AGCTGGAGCTATGGAGCCACAGGTAAGTCTCCCTGGCCTCCGCCAGCCATCTCTCGCTCCAACACTACTCTACTCCTACCAGCGCCCAGCGCTGAAGACTACCGCTACAGCTACTAGCACCCAGTGCTGAAGACTACTGCTAGCGCTAAAGCTACTCCTGCAGCGCTCCTCCAGAGTGCTGCTGCGGAATCCTGAAGACTACTCCTGCCTTCTGCCTACCCGTGAAGTGCATGGGAACTCCCTATGTACTACCTCGGCCTGCCTCGTGACTGCCTCCGACTGCCTGCAGTTGCAGGGCGGGGCAGTCCAGGAGGCTGCTCTTGCCAATGCCAAAACGAGTCAGGGCCTGGCGCTGCAGCTCCTGCTGAGGCTGTCGTGGGAACAGGCCAAAAATAGCCTGTTCCTAAAACCCTGGTTTGGTGCCTGGATGTCATGGCAGGTCGATCTTACGAGGGCCCAAAAGTGGCCCTCCGTTTCAGGCTGAAAAGACTCAGGGCCTGGACGGCCCTGTTTTGGGCTGAAACGACATAGGGCCTGCAGGCCCTCGTTTCAGGCTTTCAGGCTGAAACGACACAGGGCCTGTAAGCCCTTATTTTCAGGCTTTAGGCTGCGGACACTGGTCAGGCCCTGCAGGCCCGTGTGGCTGCGCAGTATGCCACAGCAGCACAACTCACGCCAGCGGGTACCAGCACTGACTGGCCCTTGCTATCCTCCTCAGGCCACCAGAAGTGATGGCAACGTCATTAGAGCCCAGCACCTGTGCGGAGCCGCTCGGGCATGAAACCTACTGAGCTAGCCGAAGGGACCACTTCACTGTCCTCCAAGACCTACCTTGAGGTGCTTCTCCCTCTACCTGTATAGCCCAGCCGTACACACTTCTACTACTATTACTACTCCATAGCCATAGAGGTCTTCCTCCTCACCTTCCAGCTCCACCTCTTCAACCACAGCTCCGCTGAACTAGCTCTCTGGGTGGAGCAACAGCATGACTGCCAAGCCTGTGTGCGGGGCCTACTCATCGTACCGAATGATATGCTCATGAGCTCCAACATCAACCTGGTGCATTAGGCCTATCAGACTTTCCTGCCTGTAGCACTACCACAGCTGGTTCAACCGGCAGGTTGTCTGGTCCACTCCCAGTCCGTTGGTCCAATCCCTGGACAGACAGGCCGGGCTATATGTTTGTTGCCCGGGTCTGGCCCGGGTTTTCAGTCAATGTTTCCAGCTGCTGCTTCTCTTGCGTGTGTTCTCTCTCTCTCTCTCTCTCTCTCTCTCTCTCTCTCTCTCTCTCTCTCTCTCTCTCTCTCCT